TCGAAAAGCGTTGCGTTCTGCTGTAGGGTTGTGGGTCGTGGGGTGCCACCTGGTTTTGTCGGGTCATTTCGAGACAAGACGCGATCCGAAGAAAGGTGATTCTTTGCTGCAGTACACCATGACATCGACTCTTCGCCCCCAGACCTTCACGGCGGCAGACTCTTCTGAACCTAAAACTCCGAAAGCCCACGGGCACTGACCGCAAATCTGTGCACAGGGTGTCCGTGCTATGATTGGGCTTACGCTTGAGGCAGTATCAGAATCATGAATGCGATTTTATCTTGGAAGCCCATGTATGGCCACCCCACATGCAAGCGATGAATCCTCGTCGAGGAAGCTCAGAAACCCGGTTCCGTAGAAGGAACGCGATGTCCCTCCAAGGTTAGCACGCATGGAGGGCGCATGGCGTGCCGGTGCGGAGGTGGTGGTTTTCCTCGTTGCTCGGCCTACGATTACACAGATGTAGGGGATGGGTTGTCATGTCATGTTGAGACGCAGGCCAAGCGGGCCGATGTCCAGAAAGCTTTGGTAGTCAGCCTTAAACCGCAAACGTCCCAGAAGCTGAAACCCCAAGTTCTAGGCGCTCAACCCCGAAACCCCTAAACTAAACTCCGAAACTCCGAAGTCCCAAAGCAAAGCACCCAAACCTGAAGAAGCCTAGCATCAAGGACAGCCACATCGAGGCCCCTTTTTCTCCGGAGCTGACTGTGTCGCCCTTGACTTTAAGATTGGGGGTTCGGCGATTTGTAGAGTGAAGCTTCAGGGTGTTGTTGGAATTCACCGTGTTCAGAGTTCGTAGGCTCTCAGAGTCCGGTAAGCGATGACAGCGACTGAGCCAGGTAGACACTGCCGGGCACTGTTCCCACCCCTGAAGCCTGAGTTGGGAGTTCGAACAGCTCCCGCCTTTCGTCTGCACTGTGTATCCTACCCCTAAGCCTATACCCTATGGTCCTGTGGTGCTTCTCAAGCAACTTCATCTCAACAGGATCAGTGGTTCAAGACCCCCCCAGTATGTTTCAGTCAAAAGCTTGGGGTTTGTTGTCCTGGCAGGATTCTTCCCTCCTCCCACTTCAAACTCCACCACCTGGACTCCAAAAGTATGTAGAATAATAGCCTTTTATAGGTTTTGGGCCATTATTTTACCTGCTTTTGGGGTTTAGGCAAGGGTTTCTTATTGTCGGAAGAAGATCAAAGTTCCCGGACTCCTACTGCAAATCTGTGCCGGAGCGTCCAGGCCCCGCCACGCCCGGAAGCCAAAACCCCCGACACCTGAAACCCGAGTCTGGCCGGTCCGAAACCTGATGCAAGTCACTGAAGCTCCAATTTACGATCCTGATTCTCAGACTTAACACAGGACGATCGAAAAATCGACGCACTCGGCCTCCTGTCGGCTCTAACAGGTAGGTAGTTCCATCCGCTTGCCCCTCCCCTCCCGGAGCCAGTCCTTCCGTCAAGCATGACGAAGGCTGCATTCTGCAAGGGCGGGATTTCGGAGTAGAGGGTGCAGGGTGTGGGGCTTGTGGATGGTAGGATTCAGGGTTTCACATTCAGGATTGGGGGGCGTGTAACTGAGTAGAGTTCAGACGGTTCTGGATTTTGGATTCGGTCCCTAGGTCGGAATAAAGCAGTATGATATACCTCCAAGAGGCTACAATGTATCGCATGTCGAAGGAGGGGCGGAGGGTCCCGTGCATGGAGTTGCCATTCTGCTTTTAAATTTTGCTTACTTTAGGGACCCAAAAAGCACATAAGCATAAGCATTTTATGGGGATATCCCTACCTTATTGGGCTTCATTATAAGGGGATTTATATGGGATATCCCTATCCTAATTTTTGCTTATGTGCTTTTTTGGGGCCCTATTACTGGCTTTGAGGGTTCGGCCTTGAGGTTTCGTGTTGGTCTTGCGCGGTCATCAAGGAAACCCCTCTTGCAATGACTAATGCCCCTTATCACCCTATCCTTAAACTCTAAGACTCTAAAGGTATCCCTAAACCGCGAAGCGTGCTTTAGGGGAGGGTTTGCAGACTCTTGGGCATGGACTAGGGTTTAGGGACTAATATAATCCAATATACAGTAGGTGCCCCAACAATGATTACAGGGTTTTTGGGTCCATGATACTATATTTATAAGCAACCCCACAATAGTATTACCAATTATTTAGTAGGGTTTAGGAAAGTTGTTTACGTCGGTCCTGTCTTGAGCAACATTGGCTTGCCTTGGCGGCCAAACGCATGGAGGGCTAGGCACCGAGACTCGTAGTATGATGTATCACTCTTGCCATGGCTTAATTAAGGTTACCGATCAACCCCCACATGAGCGTGCGGCGGCTGTCTGGGTGAGGGTCATGGGATGTATGCGCTGTCTTTATGCCGATAGGCCCATGAGTATCGGAGCCTAATTTCGTGAGAAGCGGGTAGCACTTGCAACAGACTCGTGCAAAGTCTAGTTGAAGCTTCTGTTTTCCATTGCAAACTTAAAGGCCACATCGAACAAACATGGGCTCTGCAATTCTGGAAGTTTTAATTTTCGAACTCTGTTGATCAAACCTTATCAATCCGATTATGTGGGTAGTTGTCAAAATTAAGGTCCCTTTCTGGGTACCCTAAGTAACAGGTGCCGTATTATAATAGGGACCCAAAAGGGACCATCAATTTCACAACCACCCATGTACGGCTTCACGAACGATTGTGTGCTGTTGGAGCGCTGCCCTCAGGGCGATGAGCCAGAGATCCGCAACGCCGACAGTGATGATGAGCTGCTTGGAATAATAGCAGTGGTAGTAGTAGTAGTAGTAGTAGTAGTAGTAGTAGTAGTAGTAGTAGTAGTAGTAGTAGTAGTAGTAGTAGTAGTAGTGGTAGTAGTAGCAGTAGTAGTAGTAGTAGCAGTAGTAGCAGTAGTCGTAGTAGCAGCAGTAGTAGTATTCCTCTGTATTTTTCTCAATGGTCAACTTGGAGCGAATATCCCTGATTACCGATAAGCTTTAATGAAAACCCAAACCCAGGCTCCAGTGTTGACCGCTTCCGCTCACTTCCGCCATAGCTAGTGCTAGCCCTACTGCCTTTCGTCCTCATGATGATGCTTAGTGTGGAGTTCGTTATTCATTCAAGGGTTTGCTTCCGTGAACCTCTGACCCTGAGAATATTTGCCGACGTCCGAGACGTTAACGACAATAACGGCTTTACATCAAACCCATCAGGGACGCTTTAAAAAAAAACCTGCCCAAGTTTCTTCGCAAAAATAACCCAAAACCCCGAACCCTAGCCTTGAACCACCAAAGCTCTCAAACAAACCCGAGAAGTCAAAAGCCACAAGCCATGAGCAGTAACTACAATTCCTTCTTGTCGTTGCTAGGAGCGGTTCTGATGAGGAGATGCCCAATCTCGAGGCGCTACCGGGGATTCGGGTTGTCTAAGGCTTGATATTGGCAAAGAGGCCTTACAGGGGTTTGTGCGTTTTTGTAGGGTCTTCACAGGATCCTGCACAGGTTCGTTCAAGGTTCTGATGAGTTTAGAGGAGCTTGGACGGGCAGTGTCGGGCTTTGTAACAGCTGTATCCGGGTTCGGCGCGGCGCTCCGGGCTTGGGGGTGTTAGAGTTTTTCGGATTTGGAGCTTAGAACTCTCGGAATTAAGATTGGTGTATGCTAAAGATAGCATTCTGATTCAACATCGTGAGCCCTATCTCACTTTTCCCGTCCCAAGATTATGAAGCAGCTCGCAGCCGAAGCCTCACCACTCGAGTGAAGTCCCAAAATTCATGGGTCGAAGGTGCATAGCAACTCTCAATCCCAAAACCCTTCCATCCCAAACCCTAAACTTTGAAACGCTGAGCCCTAGACTCTGAAATCCGAAACCCCCTAAACCCTAAAGGCATCAGCTTACTGCGGATCCATCCTCAGCACTAAGCCTCAGGTTTCAAGCCGGAAGGTCGATCCCCAAGGCTCAACCCCGTACTAGAATTGAGGAACCCTAAACCCTAAACCCTAAAGGCCCTAAACCCTAAACCCTAAACCCTAAACCCTAAACTTTGTTGCACATGGTTTGGAAGCTTACGGCTTACTATAGGGGCCTGAATGATTAGAATAGGGCTTTGGGGCCCATATTACCATGTTCATAAAGGAGCCCCCAAAATAGTATTGGTAATTATTTAGGGCCCTATATTACAGGATTTCGGGTGTAGGCCGTTTTCGATAATTTAGTCGCGCCGAGACTGGGACTGAAAGCTTTACTTTTGGGGGGCTTGGGCTTAATTTGTACACCCAGAATGAAACCAGACGAAACCCGAAGCCTGAGACACGAACCCACCGCCCTGACCAACGGCAGGGCGAAGGCGGCGGCGAGAGGCCCGACATCTGAATTGGAAGCGGTGTAAGAATGCAATCAATCAGGTACGTATGCAGCTGCCGGTGTAGGGAAGAGTATGATTGTGACTTCAACTGTTACCGTGACGATGCGATGAAAAGAGATGAAAGAGCAACTGAAAACGGCGACAGCTAATGATGACGACCATGACGATTATGATGGATGATGGTGATTGTGATGGTGAAGACTGACTGTGATGGTGATGATCGAGCTGAAGAGCCACGAGGCCTCTGAGGAAGCATGCTGTTAGTTCTCCATTGTCTCGTAGCGCGATCCATGTCTGTCTGCAACAGCTTCGGGTGCTCCCGCTTTGCGCCATGTTGGTTTCCATGTCGCACAGTTGGCCAACAGCAAGGCCCAAAGATCTGCTCTACTAAACACCACGCGGACGTCGCCTGGATTCACTCCTGATCGTGGTCTGAATTCCGAAAATTTTAGGGGCTCCTTTTTGGGGTCCTTAAAATCAGAATATTTAGGGTACTATATTAGGGTTCCCTATTCTCGGAAACCCCCAATTCAAGTTGAGTCATGCCGCTTGTTGTAATCGCAAGCTTCACGCTGGCAGCATTTCAATGCTCAAGACCCTTTTGAAACAGCTGGGCCGCCGAATGAAGCCCTTTTTTCTTTGCATGTAGACGCCATGTATGGCTGGATTCAAGAAACGATTGAAGCTTTAGTTTTGGAGAAGTTTGGGAGAGAAGCTTGGCAGAAGGTCAAATTGGAGGCCGGCTTGGCTTCTTTTCCGACTGGGGGCTTTGCCAGGAACGAATATTACAATGATGCCATTACCATGAAACTTGTCAGCGGGCTCTGCAACGTGTGCAAGCTGGATATGGAGAGTGCACTCATCTGTTTCGGAGAATTCTTCATCTCATGGCTCATGGATCACGGCTACGCGAGCATGCTGAGGAACCAGGGTTCGAACATGTTTGAGTTTTTGACCACGGTGGACGATTTGCACCAAGGCCTCCAAAAGGGATTACCCGAGCTTGTGCCGCCCCGAATGATCTGCACAAAAAGCAGCGATGCAACGCTGAGCTTGGAATACATTTCGCGCCGGAGTGGTTTGGCACCAATGGTAATCGGCATAGTCAGGCAGGTTGGTCGGCAATTGTTCCAGAGTGACTACAGCTGCACAATGGAGGCTCAGAAACAGTCTCAGGGTGAAAATGGTGAGGCGTTGGAGCACTCTTTTTTCAAGGTCACATGCATCAGCGGTCGGGCACTGGACCAAGCACTGGACCAAGCCTCCGACCTCCAGGAGGAGGCAGACTCTTTTGACGTGGACTCCGCCTACTCACTTAAGAGCTCGGCGAGGGATATCGAGAATTACGACTTCCTCCAACAAAACCCAACCATGGCCGGCGCATTTTCTTACATCCTAGTGGAGCGTGTGAAGCTGTTGGACTGCCCGCTGAAATCTCAACACTTTGGGCACAACTTTGAGTTTCCGCAGCTTATGTCGCTCATGGCGTCCTACAACCCAGAAGCCGCTGTGGCGCTCTCCGGACTCTTCCGCCAGCCACTGAGTGACCCTACGAAGTGCACCCCTGTGCCACGACACGCCTGCGTCTCTGGACCCGGGGGAAGGGATGGCCTTTTCACAAAGAGCTACGACACTATTGTCATGAACCCAAGCGTTTTCTCTGGAAATGACCCCTTGCTGCTTTTGACTGCTGGAAAGGGCTACAGACAAGTGCCTGTCGAGCTCAGTGTTTGTGTCATTCCTGACCCTTTGCGAAACGGACAGATGCTGAAGTCTCTGGCTAACACTCCTAACGATGCTTGGCGTTCTTCTGGTTGGCTCTTAGGACTTTTAACCTTTTGGGTCTCTATATGAACTAATATTCAGAAGTCAGTCAAGGACGATGTCCTGGCCACCATGGCCGCCCAAGCTCTTCTCGACGCAGCGTGGGGACTAACAAGAAGCCGCAAGATTTTTGACATCACGTGTGAGTCCATCATCCTTCTGTTCACCTGCGGTTGGATCTTCTTCCGCGTGCACCGTGGATTGTGGCCATGTTTGGTGTTCGGCCTCATGAAGGAATTTCTGGAGAAAGGCATCCAGACTGTACGTTATTGGAAGAAGGGCTGGTCTGTACCGCTTGGCTTAGTGGCTGGAACAGCACTCAACCTTACTCTGTATGTGCTCCTGGTATACCAAGCGATGATCAGCGACGGCTACCCAAGTGATCGAATGGGACAGATGGCTATCGCGGTTTTCGGCTGCACACGTTGGTGGTCCTTGCTTGCACATCTGCGCGGCTTCAAGGCCATCGGCTCTAAGATTTTACCAATCCTGTATGCCTTGGGAAGCATGGGCCCTTTTCTGCTTGTCTTTGGTATCATCATGCTTGGCTTCCTCTCGTCCTTCTGCGCCCTGTCAGATGAAGCCCTTACCATGACACGCGTGCGTGGAATCTATTTCTTGGCCATGCTTGGCGAAGAGGGCGACAGTGTACTTGACGGTGAAAGAGAGGAGTGGCCAGGTAGAGCTTTGGGACATTTTAGACTTTCCCTTATTGGGCTTAAGAGGATCTTATTTACTAATATTTTCAAAGGCTTTAAAAGCCCCACCTAGGTGGTGGTTAGACAGCTGGGTCTTCCTCTTTGTCGTCGTGACTTTGTCATAGTTGGGTAAGAATTTACATGTTTATGGGTACTTAAACCCCATAAGGAATAAAAATGTACATGTTTATTCCTATCCCAACCATGAACAAGGTGATGTGCCTGGTGCTGCTCAACATTTTGATTGGCATTCTAGGCGAGGCTTACGACATGTATCGGGACAGCACCGAGGTAATCTTCAGTCGGGAGCGAGCTCGTGTGACCCTCAGCGTCACCATGCGCCTCTTGCCCATGGCATGGCCAGAGCACTGTGCAAATATGTTGCAGTGGCTCTTCCTGTCTGTGTTTACAGAAAACACAAATGGACGCCATAAGAAATACTTGTGGGTCGTTGTACCACAAGATCACAGTTTGGATGTTGCACGGATAACTTCGATGAAGGAACACGTGTCTCGCGAAAGCGATCGCGCTGTCAAGGCCGTCAAGGACACCCACCAGCGTTTGGAGCAGTTGGAACGAGATTGGAAGTCTTGGAAACATTCAGCAGTCAAGTGCCCTTTCTCTGGCGCACCTCTTGCGCCTTGATGTCAGTCATCGTCAGGCCATAAGCGCCTGTAGCAGATGTGTGATGCCAAAGGCACCAAGTAACCTTCTTCAAAGGAAAGAAGAGGCTGGTTCAAAAGGTTCCTTGAAGAAACGGCTCATCAACTTTTCAAAGGAATTCAAAATGCCTCAGGCACTGGCGGCACCTCTGAACAGGGATCTGCCTGTAAAGCTGTAAATCTGCTGGGACGTCTCACGTTGCATCGCGAGCGCCAGGGGCCAGGGCCAACTAAGCGAACAGGTGTGTGGTCGCAACTGTGCGGAGACCAGGGCCCAGGGTCTATAGGTGTGAGGCTTTTGGTAGAGTTTAGGGATTTCGAGTTCTAGGTCTGGCCAGAGTCTGCATTTTCGGTCAGGATGAAGCAGAACCGATCCGAGAAGAAGAGCCGCAAGGTGCATCACCTCTCCGTTACAGTATAGGTATAATGCAGTGCACTATGCTGATATGCTATAATGCAACATCAGACAGTATGATGCAAAAACAGTGTAGATAGTACATTAGGACACAGTGTACTGTATGGCATAGTACTGTAAGAGGTCATCCTACAATCCAGTGTATGTCTTTTTGTGGGCTTTATTGGGTTTCGCAGGGTATGGCATGGCGCTACAGGCTCTTATCGTGTGTGTTGTGGATTGGCAGTAGTGCCGGGGGTGGGGGAAGAAATTCGAGGGTGGGAGGTTGTAATGCCCTTAGAGGCACGCTCTGGATTGACGAATGTAGGGGTTCGGGTTCTGGGGTCCATAAGTTTAGGGTTCAAGATTCGCGCACAAGCGGTCGAGAGATGAAACGCTTGAGTTCAGGCGTTCGCTGTTCGTCAACTTGCTGGTGCATGGAGCCCTATACCCCACGGTATAGCAAAGTAGTGCAAAGACCTCGGTGGAGACAGTTGTTTTCAGTCGCACCACAAGCGGCAAGCGCCCGAGTTCGCACTGTGCCTTCCAAGAGTACCGCAGTCAGCAGTGTAAGGTATGCCCAATCCATCGAAAGCCAGTAGGTGCAGATGCGAGTTTGGGGCCCTCACACCCCTTCTTTGCCTAGATACATTATTGGGACCTTAAGAATTTGAATAGGGCTTTGTGATATCTGATAGAATCACAGAAAACCGTAAAATCCAAAACCTGTGACCCTACGCTGAACCCGCAACAAAGCCCCTAAACCTCTAAGCCCTAAGCCCTTTGCCGCCAGGCAGTGCAGAAGTTGGGCATGAAGCAAGTGCCTGGCATCATGCGCGTGACCGTGAAGAAGAGCCTCTTGGCATGGAGATCCAGGGTTTCGGGTCTTTGAGGGTTTTAGGGCATAGGATTTTCTAGGGTTAAGGGCTCAGGAAGGGTTTCCGAGCTTGGGGCGTGGGATGGAAAATGTAAATTTGGGTGTTTGTAACAAGGCACCTCGGCCACACAAATGCAAAGGTAAGTATTACCATTCAGAGTCTAGGCAGGCATTGCCGGTGCCTTGTCCTGCTTGCTTTAACCTGAGCCCCCAAGCTGCAATGCTAAATCAAAGACTTCTGGACCCTTTTTTGTTATGGCCGGTATCGTTGTGGCCTTTGCGACTTATTCCTAAACATAAGTAGTAGCAGTAGTAGTAGTAGTAGTAGTAGTAGTAGTAGTAGTAGTAGTAGTAGTAGTAGTGGTAGTGGTAGTGGTAGTGGTAGTGGTAGTGGTAGTGGTAGTGGTAGTGGTAGTGGTAGTGGTAGTGGTAGTGGTAGTGGTAGTGGTAGTGGTAGTGGTAGTGGTAGTGGGAGTGGGAGTGGGAGTGGGAGTGGGAGTGGGAGTGGGAGTGGGAGTGGGAGTGGGAGTGGGAGTGGGAGTGGGAGTGGGAGTGCCCAGTGGGAGTGGGAGTGGGAGTGGGAGTGGGAGTGGGAGTGGGAGTGGGAGTGGGAGTGGGAGTAGTAGTAGTCGTCGTCGTCGTCGCCGCAGTCGTCACAATCGCAATCACGGTTGGCACGACTTAAACAAATGGTGTACGAGGTGTATCCGCATCATCAATGCTCACAGATGGCTGTAGGACGTGCGAGTTTGTACCCAGCTGGGCCCCAGGTAGGGCCTGCTGGGGATCGGGAGCATGGCTATTGTCCGGATCCCCCAATAGGTACCCCAGAGTATAATGACCCCTGAAGCCTACCCCATGGACTTGGACCCCAAAGCCACGAGCTTCAACCCAACCTTTGAAGCCTTGGGTATGTGACTTCTGGTCTTTTGAATTGGGCTATACATAAACGAACAAGATGGTCAAGCATGGGCGTAGATTTTTCTGGTAGAGAGAGGCAAGAACATCCTGTTCGTGATTGCCAAGCCCGATGTGCACAAGGCTTTCGTTACCAGCTGCGGTGCTCGGGGATTTTCGGGGCAGGGTCTGGGATTCTGGGTTTCCCGCGTCGAATGTTTTGGGCTTGGAAGACGGGTGGGGGGGGGGGGTGTTTACCAACAATCACCACAGAGTTTGCTTCCAGCCATAAAGAACTGTGCCCCGAAAATATTAAGGCCCCTATGGTACACCATGAATGTTGGTCTCGCTGAGAGCGGCTGCTGCCATAGCGCCCGAAGCCCAAACAGGCTGCCGTCGCGCATCAGGAGATGTGTAACACGCAGAAGCCTTGTTGCGGTCTTTTTCTTTCCACCGAAAGCGTTGAGCACCGCACAACATGAGCATAATTGATAAGCAGACAAACTCCAAAACGCAAACCCGACAGCCATAATTACACACAGTCTTAAGGAATGTGATCGCGAAACTCAAACCCGAAAAGCCTTGAAGGCCCGAACGAGAGCCTCCTTGCGAAAGCTTTCGGAATTTCTCAGAAGCTCCGCGAACAAACCTCTTTTGGTCAGCGGCCCCTTAAGCCTTGTACATCCTAAACCTTAAAAACTCTCGAATTCCATCAGGAGACGCCAAAAGCCAACCCCAAAGTTGACCCTTACAGTAGAAGCCAGAAAGTTGGAATGTCATTATCGTAACCCCTTTAAGGTAAAGTATAGGGGATCCTACCATTAATCCATATTCCAACTTTCTGGAGTTCCCTTTAATTCCCAAACCCCAGGAAGGCTCCAAAGCCTAAGCTCAAACCCCTGCGCCTCGGAGCGTAAACCTCATCCCAACAACGCGATACCCTGAACCCAAATGGGGGTTTCCGAAAATAGGGGACCCCAGTACAGTACCCCAAGTAGTAGGAGCCTTATAAAAAGGGCCCCCAAAAAGGTACCCCTAATCTTTGGAAACTCCCAAATGCCTCAGCCCTATATAACACCTGAAGCATGTGAAACCCGAAGCCTTAAGCCCTAAACCATAAACCCTAAACCCTAAACCCTAAACCCCTAAACCGAAGCCTCAAGCCCTAAACCCTAAACCCTAAACCCTAAACCCTAAACCCCTAAACCGAAGCCTCAAGCCCTAAACCCTAAACCCTAAACCCTAAACCCTAAAACCGAAGCCTCAAGCCCTAAACCCTACTGACGAAGTCGGAGGAGCCTCTCAGTCTCCCCCATGACAGGCACAGAGCTCGGACACCTACATCGTCTTCGGCGAAGCTAAGGCTCCTTCTAGATATTCAGAAAGAAAGGGAGATAGAGAGACAGAGAGATAAGGTTTATAGGGTTTATAGGGCTTATGGCGTTTGTCGAGTTTAAGGCTGGGAGGATCATAGGGCTTCGTGTTTAGAGAGAGGGCTTGTGGCATCTGACTTTAGGCCTTGGGGCTCGGAGTTTCGGCTTTATGGCTTGGCTCAAGTATGGAGAGACTTGACCACTGTAGGGGTTCTATTTGAGTTGGGCTTAGGTTCGGCGGTGGCCTCAAGCCCTGAAGCCGAGAACAGCCCTCTTCATGCGAAGGCCAGGCGATTTGCATGCAGTTGCAGTCTCAACCCCTAAACCCTAAACCCCTAAACCCTTTATCTTGCCCGTCGCGTCGTGCGCTGAGTTGGCTGTCGGTGCCTTTCATCGTGTGGTGTCTGTGACTTGACCTCGCTCTTTTCATCACTACTTGCCATCGCTGTAGGTATGCGCGTCTTCATAGCTGCTTTGTGCAGCCTTATCCTTTCAGTTCTCATAGAGCCAGCTCTAGCTCAAGATTCTCCAGTCCTGCCGTATCATGACTTCCCACCAACCAGGCTTACCTTGCCTGGCCGTATTTCGACCTTGTCCGAACTTCGTTAGTCTTATTGTTGCATCTCCTGGTACCGTTTTCATCTTTTTTGATTCCGTCTTGTCTGGTATATGGTCAGAACTGAGAACTATGAAGATTGTTCTCACAGACTCGCAAGCAGAGACTAGACCACGAAGCTAGGATTGTGGACTTGCGCTTTGCGGGCTCGGAACCATGGCTCCGTACCGTAAACCCCAAACTTTCCTAAACCTTTAACCACAAAACCATACACCCCAAACCTCCAACCCTAAACCCCAAACCTTGAACCTTCAACCTAAACCCTAAACCCCAAACCTTGAACCTTGAACCCTAAACGCCAAACCTTGAACCTTATACCCAAATCCCCCTGAAACAGCCCACCTTCGTTTCCTCTCTTCTTAGAGGTCGAGGACCTGAGCGCCCAGGCCCAGGCGTCGTCTCCTGGGTCATTAATGTCTCATGTGTGGGAGTTTCCGAAAAAAGGGGGTACCTTATTTGCGGCTCCTTATTTATAAGCATCCTACTATTTAGAGTACTATATAAGGGTTACTATGATGGGATAGCAATTTAGTATGAGTATGAGGGCTACTATAGGGGTTGCTATAAGGGATACTACAATGAGGGTTATATATGCGGGTTGCTATAATGGGATTATGGTTACTATATTGGGCGGTTGTCAATGTTAGGGTCCCCTTTTGGGCCCAGATTACAATATGTCACCCAAGATATAGGGTACCCAAGAAGGGGACATAATTTTGACAGCCACCCATATAGGGGATCTATAACGGGATATTAGTTTAGTATGAGGGCTTCGATAAGGGTTACTAGTACTATGAGGGGATACTATAAGGGATATTATGAGGGT